TCTCTCTCTCTCTCTCTCTCTCTCTCTCTCTCTCTCCCCGTCTTTCTCGCCGTCCCGCTACGCAGCAGCAGTACACGGCACGCCCGCCCGCTTGCCTTTGTCCCTCAAGGCGCCGTCGCGCCCGCGCGCGGAGCGGCAGCTAGAGCCTTATTGCCGGCCTCATCCCAATTACTTATGGGGAGGTAATTCCGCCGTGAGGATGCCTTTGTTGACGCAGGAAATTGATGTCACATAATCCACTTACGGCGGAATGAACAAGGCGGGGCGGCCCGTCGCGTAGTCGTGCGGGGAGTTGGGAAAGAGAGAAAGAGAGATAGAGAGAGGGGAAAGGGTTGCGGGCCGGGATAAGGGGGGTAGGGGGCGATCAGGGGTGGATAAGGGCTGGTGTGCCCCCCGTGGTCCGGCGCCACGCTCACACTCGGGGGCCCCATAGCCCCCGTCCTGGGCGACAACTGCCCTCACATATGGCAAAGAAAAAATAATACCAAAGGCCTTAGCGGAAAAAAGAGATGTGTACACCTATTTGCTTTTTGTTCGTTTACTGTGAAAAATTTCTACGTAAATTTACAACGTATTTCGTATTTTCGATCTAGAAATATATGTTGTACATGTTCGACAGCCCATTTTGGCTCGTCGATAAATCCCATGTCGATACAGAGTGCTAATAATTTTACGACACACATCATTGAAAACATCCTGTAACTCGTACAATTTTTTTCTTAGTGTTCCCATCAATCTAGTTTTAGTTTTTTCATATCTGTGCAGTGTTATACGGTTTTGCCTACTCGCTGCTGCGAGGCACCATCGCCCCTAGGCAGGCCCATAGCACTGCGCTGTCGCGCAGCTTCGACGCACGACACGACGCCCTGACGCCGGCGCGGCGGCTTGCAGAAAGTGAGTCCTCAGAGCTCCTTGTTTAAAGGAGGAGAAAGACAGAAAAAAACAACAAAAAACACTGTAGTGTGACAGTGCGACGTGCCGCTGTGCGGGACGGCGGGGTGGCGCTAAGGGCCGCGCACCCCCATGTGCCACGACCGAGTTGCTGCGAAATGCTGAGTTATAACTTGAGCCGTACCCACCCACATAAACGGGGACCACAATCTGTAGGGATGAATGCGAATGAAGAGCCCCCCCGAGGAAAGGGAGAGAAAAAAAAATATGGACCCGGCCGTGAAGCGACAATTTTGCGGTCGCACGAGGGGCGGCGTTCATGGCTTTGTAATGGGAACTTCCACGCTTGTGTGCGAAAACGAATGCAATTGAATATTGTGGTGTGATGGGGTCAATTCTGTTTTGGTATCAGGCGCGGTATAAAAGGGGAGGGGGAGCGGGCTCGTCTCTAGCAAGCCGCCTAAAAAGTAGGCAATTTATACGACAAAACCCCGGTAAGTAGGCAACCCACGTGCGCCACCTCCTGTCAGCCGGACCTTTATACCGCGCCTGTTTGGTATATGGAGTTTATACACTGGATGGAACTGACAAGAAAGTAAACTTATTGATGGGAGCAAATGTGTTAAGGAAGAACAAAGAAAGGTGCAAAAATAGACAATAGGTGCAAACAAAATGCAAAGTGGTGCGTTAGTGCAGCAGCATACCGTACGTACAGACAAGTGCAAAAAAGTGGTGTTAGTGCTACATTCATTGTGAGTGTGACTAATTCCAAAAGGACTACACATTGCAGCCTGGAGAGAGGGGCGAAAGTATAAAACTTAATTTTGGGGCTTGTTTCACAGACCAACGCCGATGTGTTTTCGTTTGCTTTCAAAGCATTTGGATATTCCAGTTAGAATGTCAAAAGATCAAAAGAACGAATCGACGTCGAAAACTGCTTAAAACTCTCAATGGAGCAAAGGTTTGCTCCAACAAACAAATGCAAAATATGCAGCCTTGTAATAATAAAAATAGGAGGTCTGAAAGGGGATAAACACTGTACGAAAGATCAAACCAGGTAAAAAAAATAATTCTGGAATGTTGATCTCAATCGCAGAGGTTCCATTATGAAAACAGAATAAAGGAACCTTTAAAAAACAAGAGGACAAGGAAAAAAGCAACTACACTAAAAACAGAGACAGGGAACTGACTGGTTTCAAAAAGTGCAAAAAAATAAAACACGATATCAGGCATGAAAAAAACATATGCATTATGTGCATATTCAAAAAAACGGCCAAAAATCAAAACTGCAACTCACCAGTCATTTCCAGTTTTGGCGACATTTTGCCTTTTCCTACCAGTCTGATGTGGCTTGGGGTCAGCAACCATGTTCACGTCTGGAAACATACACAACAGCCAGTAAGTCCCTCATTTCAATGCGGAGTAAAAAAAATTAAGCCTTTATAGAACTGATGAAAAATAGCTCCACGCCAGTGGCAAAATGCTCTTGCGGCGATGAAAACAAAGACACATCTGCCGAAGAAAAAGGAAGGAGAGAAAAAAAAGAAAATGGCGGAGAAGCAATAAATCTGTAGTGAATGATGCACATTTGATGTGCGGCGCGCCGCTCGGCCCGCTCCGCAGTGCTCTTCATTAGCCCACTCGGCTCTGTTTCTCTCGAAGCCCAAAGGAACCGTCCGAAGGGGAGAAAGAGGAAAGCTTCCCCGCGGAAAATAGGGCTACACACACACACATTTCTCTCTCTCTCTCTCTCTCTCTCTCTCTCTCTCTCTATCTCTCTCTCTCTCTCGCCC